ATTTTTTATACTTTTGTATTTAAAAAGAATTTTTAAGTTATTTTTAATAAATAACATTTTAACTGACTTTGAATAAATGTAATTTAAAAGCTTTTTAATTATAATAGTATATTTTAGAAATAAAACTTTTAATTTCTAATTTTTTCTAAATGTTTATTGTATAACATTATATAATAAATAATAAAATCTTTTGTTACATTTTATTATTAATAAATAGAAATTTAATATAAAAGAACTAACAAGTTACTTATATTTTAAATATGCTTTATTTTTAAAAATAAAAATGTATTAAAATATTGTTTAGTTTTTATAAGAATAATTTTTTAAATAAAATAAACAATACAATGATACTTTCTTCATAATTTAATATATTTTAAAATATTCTAATGTTTTATTTACATTGGTAAGTTTAATGTAAAGTTTATATATTCTTATCTATTTAATTTTAAAATTAATAATAATTAAATCATATCTTTTTGTTAAAAAGTGTTTTTTTTACTGACTTATAAATTAAATTTATAAAAATTCTTATAATAAATTATTTTTAATGATTAATAATTAACATTAAAATTTAGTTGTAATTAACATTATATTATTTAACAAAAATTTATTGTTTATTAAAATAATAATATACTTTTATATATTTTTTAATTAGTTTAAAAATTAAATTAGAAATCTACTATAACTCACGGGTTATTGTTATAAGGCGAAAGTATAAAAATTTCAGTTTATTATATTTTTTTAATATCGATAAGTAAATTGTATTAATTTAATTGATATTGTAATTAAACTGTTTTAACAAAGCAAATCTAGATTAAAAGATTTTGTTTCACTTTCATTAAAGTCAAGTTGTTCAGAAAAAAATTAGAGTAAACATTGATAAAAAAGATTGTTTTTATTCTATTAAAATATTAACTTAATCAAATTATACTTTTTTATAAAAATTATTTATATTTAAATCAATTTATTTTTTATTTATAATAATACGTTAAGATGAAGAAAATATTTAAATTAACTACTTACTTGATAATTATCAATTAATAATTTAAAAATAACTAAAACAATATAATATAAAATAATTTATTAAAACATAATAACTTATGAAATAAACTTTATTGTGTTTTAATAAATAAATTAAAAATTCTTTAACCCTCAATTATTTAAAAATATGGGAGGAGATTCTAAAGGTGTAGGACAATTTTCAGCAGATGGTAGGCTTTATCAGATTGAATATGCACAACAAGCATCTAATCAAGGCTCAATTGTATGTTTAGCGAAATTTGAAGATACTATTGAAATATTTTATGAATCTCGTGCAATTAATAAGCTTTTCATTCCAGCTAAGAAAATTTATAAAATAACAGATAACATTTACATTCTATTTAGTGGTGTTCAATCAGACTCATATGGGGTATTACATGATGCAATTTATGAAGCAGTATCTCATAAATACAACACCACTGAAGACATTACTATTTTAGAAACAGCTAAAATTATTGCAAAGTTAATGAGAAATAAATCTACAACTGTTTCATTCAGACCTTATGGATTAAGG